ATAGTGACCAGTGGATCTTGTCAAGAAAGGACAAAACTGATTTGCTTCAACACAAGAGGTGGAGGTAGGTGGGGCAGTAGAGGTAGAAGAAGCTTAGCATCAACATGATAAATGCTGATGAGACACTGGATGATGGATATATGAGACTTCTTTACACTTCCTTTAATGTTTAAAATTTTCAATAATACAAAGTTTTTGTTGGTTTGCTTGTTTGTTTTTAAGAATGAACCAAATGCATTCCTGCCAGCCTCAATCTTGTTTGTAGGGAAACTCTATTTGTGAACTTCTCAGCAGTTATTCAACTGTTTAACTTGATAAAGCACAATTTCCCCCAATTTTTCTTGTAAAGCTTATACATTTCTGCAAAAAAATTTTCCATTAGTTATATCACATTTTAATCAAGATGATTAAAATTTAGATTTAAACAATGTGGAAATGTGTTAGAAGTGTACTCTGAAGATGTGAAGTTGGCCGGGTGTGGTGGCTCACATCTGTAATCCCAGGACTTTGGGAGGCCAAGGTGGGAGGATCACTTGAGCTGAGAAGTTCAAGACAAGCCTGGGTGACACTGAGACACATTTCCTAAAAAAAAAAAAAAAAAAAAAAAAAAAAAAAAAAGATGAAGGTCTCAGGTTAATTCAATCATAGAAAAATTAGATGAATATTAGATGAATTATATAGCATCTTTTTTTTGTTTTGTTTTGTTTTTTGAGACAGAGTCTCACCCTGTCACCCAGGCTGGAGTGCAGTGGTGCGATCTTGGCTCACTGCAACCTCTGCCTCCTGGATTCTAGCAGTTCTCCTGCCTCAGCCTCCCGAGTAGCTGGGATTACAGGTGCCCGCCACCAAGCCCGGCTAATTTTTGTATTTAGTATTTTTGTATTTAGTAGAGATGGGGTTTCCACTATCTTGGCCAGGCTGGTCTTGAACTGCTGACCTTGTGATCCACCCACCTTGGCCTTCCAAAGAACCCTTCATCTTAAACTTTAAAGAGTGGTTCTAAAAATTTCTTCCTTGAAACACAGTAAACTATAGAGCTGACAGATAACTGATTTTTTATTGAATATGTAAATTATATCAAATGTTTACCATTCCACTACTTTTTTTTTTTTGAGACACAGTCTTGCTGTCACCCAAACTGGAGTGCAGTGGCTTGATCTTGGCTCAAGGCAACCTCCACCTCCTGGCTTTAAGCAAATCTTGTGCCTCAGCCTCCTGAGTAGCTGGGATTATAGGCATGCACTAGTACACCTGTAATCCCAGCTACCTGTTTTGCCATGTTGGCCAGGCTGGTCTTGAACTCCTGGCCTCAAGTGATGAGCCTCCCAAAGTGCTGGGATTACAGGTGTAAGCCACTGGCATGCCCGGCCCCATTCCACTATTTTGGATACAAAATATTTTGTTTGTTTTTTAGGATACTTATTTTGTAATGTCACATTTGGAGGTTTAACTTTTCAAATACCGTCTTTTCAACTTTTTATACTGAAATAAAAACATATTATTATTAAGTGAAGTCAAGCAGACACAAAATAGCTTCAGACTAAAGCAGTAGTTTTCAAAGGGGACAATTTATCCCCACCTGCAACCACAGAGGACACTTGGCAATGTCTAGAGACATTTTTGGTTGTCAAAACTTGGAGAGTGTTACTGGAACTAGTAGCCAGGGATGCTACTAAACATCCTACAATGCACAGGAGAGTCCTCCACAACAATAAATGATGTGGACCAGGGCCAGGAGCAGTGGCTCATGCCTGTAATCCCAGCACATTGGGAGGCTGAGGTGGGCAGATCCCTTGAGGCCAGGAGTTCAAGACCAACCATGGCCAATATGGTGAAACACTGTCTCCACTAAAAACACAAAAATTAGCCGGGCGTGGTGGCAGGCGCCTGTAGTCCCAGCTACTAGGGAGACTGAGGCAGGCGAACCGCTTGAACTCAGGAGGCAGAGGTTGCAGTGAGCAGAGATCGTGCCACTGCATTCCAGCCTAGGTGACAGAGCAAAATTCTGTCTCAAAAAAAAAAAAAAAAAAAAAAAAATTGGCTCAGAAAGTCACTAGTGTTGAGATGGAGAAACTCTGAAGTAACATGAGAGTGCCTGGAACTATTCACTATGGTTGTCACTCCATGGAGAAGGCCATCATTTTGCCCAGCTGGCACAACTGCATGAGTCGGTGTTCCAGGCTTTATGATGAGGGAATCCCCACAGGGGCACAAGAATGCATACCCTGTAAGCACGTAATATGCATTAGCCTCTGCATTTTGTTGCCAGCAATCGTGTTGCCTATAGCACAATTTTCTCCTTTTTTGCTTTTAATCTTTTGTGATAAATATGTATTTTATTGAAATGCTTACCATTCTGATTTATTCAGTTACAGTGCACTGCAATATTGGGATCTCTAAAGCAGTTAGATGATTTATGGACCCAGTAAAATAGAATGAAATAGTGAGATGTATGGGGAAGGGGCTGGGAAAGGGGTGTGCCTGCTGGGGAGTTTTGAAGCTGGGTCACCCGGGAGGATGCACTAAAGGATGTGAGAGGATGCACTAAAGGATGTGAGAGCTCATGAAACCCAGGGAGCTGTGAGGCTAGCCAGGTTGGACTGGGGCCTGCTTCCCTGGGGAACTTCACGTGAATTCTTCAAATGGGCTAATTGTTGCTGAGAATTCTCCAGTGGGACCCCTCTGTGTGTTTCCCTCTAGAATGAAAGGGAACTGGTGCTGAGGACCACAGGAACTTTCGAGGGTGATAAGAAAATCAAAGCCACTCAGCTACTATCCTCATTTCTAATTCAACTAGAAAGGTGTCTCATCAAATAGTGTCACTGGGTACCAGTAACCTTTCTATAGGAGTACAGTCCTCTACTGGTTCTCAGCGGCACTCAACTATGGATGCACCTTGAAATTAATTAGGGAGCTTTAAAAAAAAATCCCAACACTTAGGCCTCATCCTATAAAAATCAAATCAAAATTTTTCAGAGTGGTGGGTGATGGAAAAAATGGGAACCGTACTTCAAGAACAGCATCATAATTGCATCTCTAATTTTGGGAAATGTGTACTCTGAAAGTACCCTAAATATATATATACATATGCATATATATATATATATATATAGTGGGGGATAATAAAGTTTATTTAAAGATCATGTTGTTACAGACTGTCATCTTTGAAATACATTAAAAAATCCTGGAACGAAGATCCATCATACAACACAGTGACTGTAGTTAATATTGTATACTTGAAAATCACTAAGAGAGATATTAACTGTTCTCAATGCAAAAAAAAAGATGTGAGGTAGTCCATACATTAATTAGCTCAATTTAGCATTCCACAATGCATCCATATTTCAAAACATCATGTTGTATACCACAAATAAATACAATTTTTGTCAATTAAAATTTGTGAAAATGCTGGAAGAAACTGAGTTCTCTTTAACACAAAAGGAAGTACCGAGAATTGACAACTTTGGGGAAGATATCAGAAGATGAAATACTAATTCCGAGGATATTATCAGAAAGACATAGCAACACGGAGATGGAAACACCATAAAAGGTTGTCGGTGAATTGCACAGGGACCCTTACTGAATACCAGAAGTGTCCGGCTTTTAAAATTAAAATGGCCCCCACCTTTAACCTTCTAAAAATGAAGCTAGAAAAGGGTGATGAGATTTCTAATATTGAAACCAATGAAGAGGAAAACCAGGTTATGTGTTTGATCTATCACTGAACTGACTTTATAAAAGGCTCTAACAAAAGAACTACATGGAAATACCGAGAAGAATGAAGGTTCTCAGCGAGATAGGAGGGTTTACAGGAAATAGTTTTGGCATAAGCTTTTCTATGGTTAAAAAAAATGTTGCTTTTGATAAAAGGCAGAATAAAGTCAGAAATGATAGTTTTCACGAAAGTCAATGTTCGCAAAGAAATCTGAAGGTCCAATAGGGTTTGGGCATCATCTTCTAGCATAAGATTTCTGTCTACCTTAGAATGAAGGGAATTCATATTTTCAAAGTAGACTGCGGATTTAGGTTTTCTCGTGTAAATTTTCATCTTGCCTTACTTTGTTGAAATTCTGGTCTATGAAGTCCCAGCAAGTGTGTGAGACGATCCTAGGAACTGGAAGAAACAACATTATAGCCTTTTTTTTTTTTTTTTTTTATACAGGGTCTTGCTCTGCTACCCAGGCTGGAGTGCAGTAACACAATATCACGGTTCACTGCAGCCTTGACCTCCCAGGCTCAGGTGATCCTCCCACCTCAGCCTCCGGGGTAGCTGGGACTAATGGTGCATGCCACTGTGCCCAGTCAATTTTTCTTTTTTTCTTTTTTTTTGTAGAGATGGGGTTTCTCCATGTTGCCCAAGCTGGTTTCAAACTCCTGAGTTCAAACGATCCTCTCGCCTTGGCCTCCCAAAGTGCTGGGATTACAGGTGTGAGCCACTGCACCTGGCCAATGTAGCCTCGAAAGTCTTGAATATTATATGAAAACAAAGAACAAAATTGCCAGAGTGCGTTTCTTTACTCATAATTCCCCTTGTTGAAGTTGAATTTTCTTCAGCAAACTTGCAGAGGAATGTTTCTTGAACACAAACTAAACAACCAAAAATAATACTTTTCTGATCAAGTTTGGTAATTAGCACAGCAAAATCCCATACATTTATGGGACACATTAGCTCAAGGGGTAACATTACATACAATGTGCAATCATAAGCCCTGGCTGAGTCAATAACTACAAAACGGACAGTTTCTGTGTTTGGAAATGGTTGGTGGGTTGGCATGGGCAAGTTTAGTCAGTTGAACACATTTCATAAACTGTTTACTTGTGACGTTGAAACCATTTACAATACTTGGTGGGTTTTCAAGGCCAGCCTACATTGGCATCACCATGTGGTAGCACCTAGCACCCTGCCTAACCACCCGAGACACACACTCCCATCACTCTTTGCCAAGTCAATACACTTAAGTCCCATGAGTCCATTCCTGATTACCGTCAGTTTTGCATGGCATCCTTTTCCTTCACGCTCCAAAACCCCACTGATTTACACATTGTTTATTTTTTGAACTACCTTAAAATCCATGCAAACAGAATTCTGCTGTATGTAAGATGAAAATGCACATATCTCTGGGGCTATTTTACCAACCTTGGGGTCTTTCTCCATGTTGGGACATAGCCTATTTAGAAATCTGCTTATAATAAAAACTGACAACACCCGTGACAAAAATAAGGATATACTATTAAAATAAAATGATATACAGTACTGTCATTATTCTGATACAGAATTTTTACACAGCAATATTGATACAGGTACAAACGGCAATCCATTACAATCGACCTTTCGGTTACAAACAACGTTTAAATTACAACTTAATACCGATTTAAAAATGGTAATCAGTGTTGTGCCAGATTAAAATAAATACTTCCTCTTCAAGTGACATTTTCTAGAATATCTCTAAGTAGGAGACTAAGAAAAAAAACTTTATAAAAAGAAAAAGAAGTAAACGTAATCTTTTATTTTTAGAAAAACCCAAACCTAGAAATCTGGACTAAATTAATTTAGCTTTCCATTCCTTCTGTCCACACACCAGCCCAACAGCAGAGCCGAAGTCCTCTTGAGTGACAGGTTTAGGAAGGGTCCGGCAGCACTCCCAGCGTCCACGCCATGAGAGGAGTTTGGAGCGTCAAGTTCACATATAAACTCTTTTCACTATTTAAATAGCCAGCAAAAAGCTGGATTCCCGTCAGCGATTCTGCCATCAAACTCAGAGATAAACCTACCACTTTAAAATGCACGAGCAGGGAAGAGAAATGGAGAAAAATAAAGTAAGGTAAGGGCCTTGAAATTCTTTGAGGTGGAAGAGGCAAGGGACCAAAAGTTGTATGTATGTATGTATGTATGTATGTATGTACGTATGTGTGGCGGGGCACAAATGGGGCTTGGGATGGTGAGGAAAAAAAAAGTTTCTCTAACAAAATATCAAATTCCTATTTTCCTCATTTTTGTGAAAATGGGTATGTTTTTGACATTTAAGAAAAAAGCCAAACCAAACCAAAACACAAACAGGGAAATGAGAACCAGTTCCACAATGCCTTACACTTTATATTTCTATCCAAAAGTAAAATTCCCGATTTAAAAAAAAAAAAAAATCATTTAAAACTCAAAGATAAAAAAGTTACTTGGAAAGTTGAGGAAGCAAAAGCATTTCTTTCTGGCACATTTTTTGTTTGGCACAATCACAAGTAAGACTTTACAGATAAGATGTGGCTATTCACATTTGGTTTCTACTCTAAAGCGATTACTTTCGGGCTAAACAAATAAATCGGTTAAATGAAGTCCGTAAACAGGCCAAGCCTGGCAGACATGGGCAAGTGTGATGCATCCTCCGCCCAACAAATGGAACCTAAATAAAAAAGAAAACGGAGTCAGAGCTGGAAAGGTTTCAAAAACAAACACACCAAACCATTCTTGAGATAGCTATTTAAATAACAACTAGTGTTTACTGAGCGTTAACTACCCATTAGGCAATACGCTCAGTACTTTTTATTTATTTATTATTTATTACTTTTGAGACAGAGTCTTGCTCTGTCACCCAGGCTGCAGGGCAGTGGCACAATTTTGGCTCACTGCAACCTCTGCCTCCCGTGCTCAAGTGATTCTTCTGCCTCAGGCTCCCGAGTAGCTGGGACTACAGGTGCATGCCACCACGGCCAGCTAATTTTTGTAGTCTTTAGTAGAAACAGGGTTTCACCATGTTGGCCAGGCGGGTCTCGAACTACCAACCTCAAGTGAGCTGCCTGCCTCAGCCTCTCAAACTGCTGGGATTACAGGTGTGAGTTACCACACCCAGCCTGCTCAGTACTTTTTATATGTTATCCTTTCCCATTCTTACAATCACCTTGTAAAGATGGCAAGCACTTTAATTGTACCCATTTTACAGATGAGAGAATGAGGCAAAGAGAGACTGGTATATTGGCGAAGGGCACTTATCTAAAACTTGAAGCTTGGCCAGCAGTGAGTGGGCCCAAGAGACCAAGCTTTTAGTCCTCAAGCTGTACTGCCTTTCACTTTTTCTCATTTATTTCTTTTTATGGTATCCTATCACTGAAGTTCCTTAAGCTTGAAGCTGGTATCATGGGCATGACCATGTCTATGCAATAAGCAAATATAAACTCACCATCAATGAGCAATATATAAATTCATACATGTGCACACAGATGCCAGGAGTCAAAATGCTGGGAAAAAACTTTAAAAGGAACAGAGGAAAATCAGGGAAGAAGGGAAGCTCAATTTGCATAAATGGAACAAACCACGTAGCAGTGAAAGGTCTGCTTCATTTGAGAGTCACTCTAAGAACCCAGCCCATGTCACCAGCCAAGCTGGGTTGAGGAGGGTCAACCGACAGCGAGCATGGTGGTTGTCTGTGTCAGCGGCAAATGGTATACACTCCAAATATGTATGCTTTCTAGAATAAAGACAGCAAATGTTATTTTCCCTCCCCTAAGGAATAGCACCTTCCTGAGAATCTGCCTGTCTTACAAGTTATATGGAGAAAGTTTAATCCCAGGCCTGGAGCGTCTGTGAAATCAGATGGCAAGTAACTCTGATTCAGGCTAAAGTGGGAGAGACGAGTGACTACAGACTCATATCTCAGAGATGTTTCCATAGTTTAAACATGGCAGAGGATGTGTTCTTCCTGCTTCCAAACTCAAATGCTTTATTCAACATCATTCTAGTGTATTTCTTATTCTGTTCCACCAAAACGGGCCACCCCACATCAATGATCTGTCCTTATGAGAAAAGCTGAAATGCATTGTTTAGATGCCTTCCAGATAGATTTCTTTGTATATATCATATAGATATCGACATAGATTACCAAAGCTGTCTACAGACAGTGGCAGAACCATTCCAACCTTATATCGGCGCTGAACTGATAGGACAGACCCAACTCTATGGTAGTGCAACAATGTAAAGGCTAATTCTTCTGGGCATGTCTTTCGGTGGTACCACACTCGCATTCTTCTTACCTCCTTTTTCCTTTTTCTTCTCTTCCTCTTTCTTCTTTCCTGCCTTCCATTTCCAAAATTGTTCTGGAAGGGCCAGGGAGATGATTGAGATCAATAAATACAAAGGGAAGAAAAAGAGGCAATGGGAGGGCAGGGTATGTATGTAGTGAACTGGTGAAGCAAGATACAGCCAAGCCATCCCAGTTCCTCTGTCCTTCTGCTGTGTCATGACTTCCCAGGTTCTAATGACAGCATCTACATGCAGACATGTTCGCCACTGGATTAATATAGACTTGCGCTCAGAATGGTTCTGTCACTGTGTGTCAAAGGGAACACTGAGGGCTGGCTCTTTTGCTGCCACCAAGAACACATCAGAGGAGGTGAGTACAGCTGGACTGGCTTAGACAATTATAAGTGGATAGCATGAGAAGTGATCATCAATTACCTTTATAGCCCATTCTGACCCTGAGACCTTAAGTTTCTTTCTGCCAAGCCTAAAACTGGTGCATGGGCCAGTGATTCTCAACTAGGGATGATTGTGTCCCCAGGGGACATTTGGCAATGTCTGCAAATGTCTTCATTTGTCACAACTAAGGGCAGGGAGGGGGATGCTCTAGGCATCTAGTGGGTAGAGGCCAAGGATGTTGCTAAACATTTTACAATGCACAGGACAACCCCTACAACAAAGAATTATCTGGCACAAGAGGTCAATAGTGCTGAGGCTGAGAAAAACAGACACAGAGAGCAATATCCAAGTAAAAGGAGCCTGAAGTGTGTCAGTGAAATACACCTATAATGAGCATGTTAAACTGTTATAAACGGAGATCACCAAGTATGTTTCTTTCATTTACCCATTCGACAGATACTGAGTGCCACCTACATACCAGGCCCTATCTTAAGTGCTGAGCATACAACGATGAGCAAAACAGGTGAGGGTGCACATCATCGTGGCGCTTCCCTCTTAATGATATAAGACAGAACACCAGCAAAATTGTTTCAGCTGCTTACGGGTGCTCACAGCCTTCTGCTTTCTGCATCGTGACACTATGATCACTCTCTGGACTGTCACATGGGGTGGGCAGTACCTTGGGCCTGGTAGAAAAGAAAAATCACGTGGATTGTGTGCCATGGGTCAGTTCTCAGAAGGCATCATTTATGAATGTCATCCCAAACCTCAGCACCAGATTTTTGCTTTGTCTGAGACAGAGGTAAGTGACTTCCTTTTGAGGTGAAGCAAAGGTCCTGGACTGAGATTACTCAGCTAGGAGGGAATAATGCTCATAGTCAAACACAGTCCTGCTTTCTTCCAGATTTTGCTCTCTTCTCAAATACCACCAAGCCCAGACACCAGACCCTCTAAAGAGGGGACCATACCTGTTTTACTCATGAGCATATAGCTCTTAGTCTTGTACACAGAAAACACTCAGGAAATACTTGCTATGTGCCAATCACATGCCCTGCAATGCCCCACAGAGACTAGAAGCTCCCCAAAGGGCAGAAGTGAGATGACCGTCTCAGATCCCGAGGCTCCCCTCACTACCCTGCCCAGCTCCGAGCAGGCAAAACGTAACTCACACCACCAAACTCAGAGATGGACTCACCATGAAGCCCAAGAGGCCAAAGCCCCTCTCATGTTTAGGCCTCTAGTCCAGGACCTAGGAGGGACCCTGGTAGTGTGTTCACGAGGTCATCCGTTTTTGTGAAACTTTCAAAAAATACTTTGTAATCTTTAAATCAAGGACACCGAGACCGTATGAACATCAATCTGGATCTGCCTCGACTGACCCTAACATAATGATTACATTGAACTGCAGGGTCCTTGATACTGAGGTGCTTTTTTCTCATTCAAACCCAGTTCACTCAGATCTGTGAGCTCCTAATGACAAAAACCATGATTCCTTTTCTCTTTTCTTTTCTCTCTTCTCTTCTTTTCTTTCTTCTTTCTTCTCTCTTCTCTCTTCTCTCCTCTCTCTCTCTCTCTCTCTCTCTCTCTCTCTTTCTTTCTTTTTGTGAGTCAGAGTCTTGCTCTGTTGTTGCGCCCAGACTGGAGTGCAATGGCGTGATCTCAGCTCACTGTAGCCTCCACCTCCCAGGTTCCAGAGATTCTCCCAGCTCAGCCTTCCGAGTAGCTGGGACTACAGGAACGTGCACCCACGCCCAGCTAATTTTTGTATTTTTAGTCGAGAACGGGTTTTGCCATGTTGCCCAGGTTGGTCTTGAACTCCTGGCCTCGAGTGATCCGCCCATCTCGGCCTCCCAAAGTCTGGGGGTTACAGGCATAAGCCACTGTGCCTGGCCAAAAGCCATGATTTCTGATATTATACACTCAGTAGATGCTTGTCAATTTCTTGACTGGCCCATTCACTTCTAGATTTACAGACACTGAGTGACAAAGCTAACAGGCATGTCTCATAATCACAAATGCATGAGAAAGTGCTTACGGAAGATGCACACCGGAACCCCTTAGTCCAAACTTCATGGTTTACTTTAGAATCAACCAACACTCAATGCAAAGTTTCCAATAGCCTAGAATTCCAAATAGCAAATTCTAGAAGTTACCGAGGCAGAACATCCAGCACTTTGAGAAAGCATGATTTTTACTCTTTTACAGCACTTTCAAAGAGAAATTAGCACTTATAAAAGGGCAACATGAGGGATCCTTATAGTGTGGAAATGTTTTGTGCCTTAACTGTATCAATGTCAATATCCTGCTTGTAATATTGTACTATAGTTTTGCAAGATGTCACCACTGGGAGAAACTGGGCAAAGAGTATGTAGTACCAAAGTTGAGAAAACCTGTATTAGACTAAAGCCTATTTCTGTCTTGTAAGCCCTTTTGCTGAATTGAAACTATAAAACACAGCTATGATGCTATCCCAAGAAATAATAATAGACAGTAGCTCTTGACATCATGATAGGAAAGATGAGAAAATTAGCATATTATGCTTTCTTCCCCATCTGTTGCAAATTTTTAGTTGCATTAGTTATATTTTCGTGTTTTAAAATTTTTTTACTTAAAAATATATTAAAATTTTAATAACTTCATATTCTGAAATTATAATTATGTTTACAATGTTTTGTTATAGGCTGGTTCTAAAATAGAAACCACTAATAATTTTTAAAATATTAAGTTAAAAAAGCAAACAAGTACCAGGTTTTTATTTGCATTTTCTTCCTTCAGAAAAGGAAAATATATTGGTCAACTTTTAAAGTGAAGTTTTTAAAAAATCCTGGTGCTAAAAATGTTCACATAAAAAGTGCAGCAAAATTTAAAACAAGATTGTTTGAAGGAAACATAGTTGTTTAAACTGAACAAATTCAGAAAACAACATGCAGTAAAAATTAAAGTATTAGTCACATAATTATTGAACACTAAAACGTGTTCAAAGCTTTAAAACCTAAACAGTCAAAATGGGAAGGAAATGGCTAATCTTCTATGTAAACTTTGGAAAGTAGAGGCATTCATAGAAACGTTGTTGTTTTGTTTTTTTTTTAAACAGAAAGTTTCTTCTATAGGCATGATTCAGTAAGTCATTCTTAACTGTTAAAAAATTGTGAAAAATGCACCTGTAATCCCAGCACTTTGGGAGGCCAAGGCGGGTGGATCACAAGGTCAGGAGATCGAAACCATACTGGCTAATACAGTGAAACCCCATCTCCACTGTCTCTACTAAAAATACAAAAAAAAAAAAAAAAAAAAAAAAAATTAGCCGGGCATGGTGGCAGGCACCTGTAGTCCCAGGTACTCGGGAGGCTGAGGTGAGAGAATGGTGTGAACCCGGGAGGCAAAGCTTGCAGTGAGCTGAGATCACGCCACTGTACTCCAGCGTGGGTGACAGAGTGAGACTCCATCTCAAAAAAAAAAAATTGAGAAAAATGAATACCTGTTAAAGCTATTATTTGCTTTAAAATGTGTTTAGAAAATATGCATACTGTGTTTCCTAGGTGAACTCATATATTTTATTCTATCTTAAAATTATCAAATATAAAGTTCAAAACTATACAATTATAAAACAATAGCCTGTCAGGGACTGTAAACTCTACAAGTTAATTGGTACATCTTAAATAAAACAGTAAACTGACCTCGGTAGCTATCAACTCCTACCTATGGTTCTCAGTTTCATTCATCAAATACTGTTCACTTGACCCAAATAAACAGATTTTTGGTGGCTAATGACTAAGCTGAAACAAAATTAAAAAAAATCTATATAGTGTCTACATTTTTACTGTCTACTAATGAGCCATTAAACTTCACAGCATAATTGAATACTGTACATAATGTTCATCAGAATGTACTGAGGAAAGACTTTCTTTCTTGAGTTGTTTTGAAAAGACTACACAGCTGAGAGATATTCTGGAAGAAACTAGATTTATTTTCTACAATAGGTAAATTTCATCTGGAACAAGTAGCAACTCTGGGACCTACTCTTAAAATAGGTCATCAAAATAACCTTTGAAAATGTATTTGAAGACAAAAAAGCAACCAATATGAAAAGTTAGAAAATAAAATTCCAGAAATACATTTCAAGTGAGCATCTGAAAACCATACTCTGTTATTTAAAGATTTCATTATTGGATCCCTGATAAAAACAAAATCAAAGAGATGTAGCCAGGCTTATGAAAGAAGACTGCATTTGTTTATTTTCAAAATTAATCTTGGACTAAACCTGAAATTGAAGTTATCTAGGAACTGAGGAAAAAGAATTCGGTTCTCTTTTAAATATTGCAGAGGACTGGAACACTCAAAACTATCGGATAGAACAAACTCCCAGTCTGAACTGTTATCACTCATTCCAGTGATCATTTTGTCTCTATTATCCAAACAAACCAGTTTTGGTTAATTGGACTAAAAAGTGTTCAAATGAAACCCAACGACTACTTTCATGGAGGTAGAAGCGTGTAATGATTAAGACCACATAAACAATAGAGTGTCACAAAGAATAAAGTTGAGTGTCTCTTGTTTACTCACGGCCTGTGTTGCTGAACCCCTCTGAGGCTTAATGTTGTGTATAGGCTTGTTGTATTAAATAAGAAGTATATATACAACATTTAATATAGAGGATCCGGTATGTCACAGTATTTAACAAGGTGCAATTATGATTGTTATTAACACAAACATAGTTCCACAGGAAGTGTCACTTTTCCCTTGTTTTAGTAAACAGGCTACGTGATTCTAACATCTAGGGCATGTGAAACTATACTAATACTGTATAAAAACAACACAATTTTTCTTTTTCCAGACAGAGTCTTGCTGGAGTGTAGTGATACAATCATGCTCACTGCAGCCTGAAAATCCTGGACTCAACTGATCCCCCCCGGCCCGCCATCTCAGCCTTCCTGGTAACTAGGACTACAGGTATGTGCCACCATGCCCAGCTAATTTTAAAAAATGTTTCTATAGAGACAGGGTCTCACTATGTTGCCCAGGCTGTTCTCAAATTCCTGGGCTCAAGCAAACTGCCTGCCTCAGACTCCCAAATTGCTGGGATTACAGTGTGAGCCACTATGCAAGCCAAAAACAACGTAATTCTTAAAGGAGAAAGTTAAGAGTAAATGTTTCAGAGACAATGACTTAAGTGTACAAAAGATAGCTCATAATTCAATAAGGGTGCTGAAAATAACAAGATCAATGCTAAAGGCAGCTGGGCCAGTGGCCCCTCTTCTAGGGAAGTCTGGCATTGAGACACACAACTAACACTTTAAACCTCTTCTGTCCAAGAATAAACAATGCATGTCGTGTTTTTTAATGACAGTGCAGTCTTGCATGGTAAAACCACAGGAGGGATGGTTTAAACGTAACAGGAAGCATTTCACAAGGCAACCACAGGAAAGCCAAAAGCAAATTCAGTCTTTAGATAGGCCCAAACAACTGGAATCCACATTACAGCTTGCAGAGCTAAACCTGGGTCAAGGGGCCACAATTTCTTTCATTCTGTTCACTCCGAGGAGGTCAAAATATTAACTATTCTCTGGGACTGTGGAGTACAGGAAAGATGTTTGGCTGTATTACATTTTAAAACCCTAAATCACATGTGAAAAAATAAGACAGAAAACGGAATTTGGTTTGCTTTGAAAACATTCTACTTGTTTTTAAAAGAAAGTATACAATGTGTAGAAAGAACCCTCTGAAGAGACTGAGCTCAACCTCTCGCAAACCACCTGGCCTAGGACTTGCAATGCCTCTGGAGGCACTTTACTGTTGGGAAAAATGCGGAGGTGGAACCAGAGGAAGGCAACGCAACCTGGCATTGCTGGGGGGCTCTGTTGAGGCCTCACCGTGTTTCAAAGGTTTTTAATCAGAAGGCCAAGAACTCTCCAGTTCCACATGCCTTCTGCCTCCCACCCGCCCGCTTCCTCATATAATGTAAACCTTACCGACCCCTGTAGACAGGTGGGTCTGCAACCCTTGGGGACACAACCTCTCAAGCCCTGTCCAATCCTGCCATCCTATGATCATGCCATTACTGTTAATAACTTTTCAAAAGTGTTGTTTAGGTCACTGTGATATTCAGTTGACAGCAAGTTGGAAAATTAAATATCATCAATCTCTAAAATTGTGAACAATGTATCCTGTAGGTAGAGTCAAAATATAGAATGTTTAAACTAACATACAAGAGTAACTGTATAATCGATTTTCTTAAAAAAACCCAAAACACAGAGCTTATGCCTTATCAGTAGATCTAATATTAAAAGCAGTCTTTTCAAGAACTTCTATACTCCGAATTCTGCAAAGATGCATACTAAAGTATAATATATATTTTTGTTCTAAATAAATTTTAAGCAAATTCATGTGTTGGAAATTATATTGGTAAAATGCTTCTAACACTATGAGAGCAATAACATGAAAATTATCACTGGAATAAGAAAGACAGAGGATACAATTCTTTGAAATGAAAGGGGAGAGGAGAGGGGGTAGTTTTCCACTGTTATCCTTGCTAACGTCCAATATTCATTTGTTTGTCGAGCACATTACCCGGTCCTTCATGTCATACAGACCTCGCTCGCAGTTATCACAGTAGAACCACCATGAATACAAATATATATATATATATACTAACTTTACGAGTCAGTGGATGGCAGCTGTCTCCCAGTTTGCCCATAGGTGTGCAAATCCTTATGCTCTTAACCCAGATACTGACAGCACAGCACATGCCTCCACCACATTGGGAGTCCTTGTCACAAGCCTGAAATGTAATAAACAAACAGATAAATATAGATAACAGGAAAGACTCAGGCTAAGGAAATATAAAATTGGCAGTGAAAATTCCCTTTAAATATCTAAACACTTCAACTTTAATAATCACATATATTTTAAAAAATGATAACCTTCATTTACTTGTATATATCTACAATACAATCTGATCAGAATAGCTATTTCTTATTTTTTGAAATTGGGCTAAATTCTAGCCCCTGGATTATGAAAATCTTAAATAAACATAAGATTTTTTTAAAAAGTGAAATCAGCTCTCTTTTTCCAGCGCTTTATGGCTGAATTGGCTTTGAACTTGAAGAACAAGACTATATTAGTCTTACACTACACATGGCCATTAGGAACTATATAAATCCAATCACAAGATTTTATGACTATTAACTGCAGAATACATTGGGGCCAATTTTAAAAAAGAGATTTAAATAGTCTCTAAATCTGGCATGAAACACTCCAGACCCATAAAGGCACTGAGATAAATTTTAGAAGTGCTCATTTTCCCTTTCAAATATTTGCATTTTGGTTCATGAGACTTGACGTTTCTCACACCACTGACTTGCTTTTTCATCATTTTCTCTTTAAAGAAGTCTCATAGGTTGAGACTGGACAGACCAAGATGCTTGCCTTATGTTACTCTTCCTTCAGGTGAATAAGCTGCAAAGAGCAAATTACTGGCTTAGGATAAACATATATGCACATTACAAAACCAGCTAACAATCCTGTAAGATCCATCAGTTTAAGAAATGCAAGTGACAGGTGCAATTGTCAATAGTAATTACTCAAGGCACCTGCTTTCAATATAAAAGTTGTAAATACATACAATGAAACAATGGAGGAAACAATGGAATGCAACAACTATGGAGGAATTTCCATACTCTACTAAATAGAAACAAATAATGAAGCCTAAATTTATATGAGTGAAAATGGATCTGAAGAACTATTATTCTTTCCTAGAACCAACAAAAAATAGAATGCTTTGTTTGAACCGTGGGCAGTAATCTGTTTTGCTAGTGATAAGATAAAAACATCCTGTACTATATATGTAAGAAACTAAAACCTCTATCATTTAGGCACAAATTTAAATGTATAATTAGTGGAAACAACTAAAACAGTCCTTCAAAATTCTTAGTTTTGAGGACAGTCATAACTTCTCAAGACATAAAACTATGGGCACATTCTTAACATTATTTCTCATTAAAAGTAACCAACCATTTTACTTTAAAGTTCATTTACTTCCCTCATTGGAATATCTCTCTCAGTCTATCTAAAACAAGTATCTGGATAAAAGGTAAAAATTTCACCTTGAGTTTTTGGATTCATCTTGAGGTGTTTGGATTTTACAGGACAATACATAAATGTTTCAACTTTCCAATTTTTATCTGCATGCCAGAAATCATGTAAATGTAGCCATTGCATCCCATAGATAAGATGTCTAGTCAATGATCTTTTACAATGTAGTTTTAACAAATCTATGTGGGCATACAAATCAATTTCAAAATACCTACATACACTACCCAAAAAACTGTAGATGTAAGATGGAAGTTTTAGCCAGTATTTTATTTCAACAGATGCTCAATACCCTGAATTTTGAGGCCCCATGAGCTTTTTTTAATGAGACAATCAAACATCTAGCCAAAATCCTTTAAAATTCAATCACCTGGATGTTTAACATGCTATATACAATATATCTTGATAAGTTACTGAATTTTTCATTTGAATCCAGATGATTCCTGTCATAGAGACATAACTGCAGTTTATTGCCCTGTTGCTTTAGAGACATTTTTAAAAATTCTCTTTTTGTAACACTGAGTTAAAATAACAACAACAAAAACAGCACACATAACTATATAATAAGCCCAGTCTAAGCCTCTCTAACAGATAGACAGCCAATGTGATAAAATTTTATTTTGTAACAAAAGCCTCAGTTCTTGGAAAATTTACAAAGAGTTGCACAGGTTTATATATTTTTAATTAGACAGCTGTTTCCTAATGCCCTTCATCCTTAACCCATTGCAAATCTATTCAGATAGTGTTGTCCTGTGAATGGAACAAAAAGATACTTATATTGCAAAGGGATCTTGGGCTCAGAGGATTAGGAGAAACTTTAAATGAGCCAGCAGGAGAAGAGGGAGAAAAAAATCCAATCATGTTTCAATTCTCATGTATTAGAAAGACCTGCAAAAACTTTTTTTCAACCACATGGACTGGCAAAGCTATGCAAGTAATTTTTTAAAAAACCTCTTTTCTAATAAATATCACAGAGCTTACAGTTAAAAATCTGTTGGATATATACAAATGCTGTCATAGCATAAGGACTTCCACAATTCTATAAACCTAATAACTAATATAGAGAAAATAGGACTTGATTTTCTCAAGACAATGACATTTCCTTTAAAGTCAAATGTTATTTTATTATCTAGGTATCAACATTTCAAACATAGACATTTTATGTAAATCCTATTATGTGCACTTAAATATTTGAAGTAATTTAATGAAGGTGTGAAATAATTCCTCGCTTAAAAAAAAACAGTAAAGAAGTTGAACAACCAGGAAATGATAGCAGTTTCGCCTTGTTAATGTAAACCAGACTATTTACTATTGTATTGCAAACCCAATTCTTCAGATCCACACAAAATTGTTGGGAGTGGGAGAGAACCGAACTAGTTCCTGCTTACAAAAAAGACGAAGACATCTTTAAGTTTAAACATCTACACAGCAATCTACTCCATTATTATGCTGGAGCACTGGAGGTCCTTTGCCAGGAATTAGAAATTTAAAACTTTTATGGGGAGACCTCAAGACCCTGGCGGGGAAAAGCCCAGGAAACCAGAAGGAAGCGCCCACAATTGCTTTTCAAAGCGCTCACATGGCCCTGGACCAAGTGATTTCAAAGGGTTTCTGCGGAGGACGCATCGGGAGCAAACTCTTTGATTGTAGGATTAAGACTCTGGGCACTTGGGGAATTCGTCTTGGTCCTTTGCATTTCAGGAAGGGGCCGTCAAATTTTAAGGTTCGACACTGGAGCGCCTCCAAAAGTACTTGAGAAGACTCAGAGAGAAACTTCTTTCAGCCTAACAAGAAAAATGCGAGGAGTGAGGCTGTGGGTGATGAGGAAGAAGTAAGTGGGAGAAGGTGGTAATAAAGGTGGTGGGCGACATCCTTGTCACTTTTTCTTCCAGGACGCGCCCAGTGTCCCCAGCCGTCTGCTGCTTTTGGATCTGGGCATTTTCCCAAG